CGCCCGTTTATTCGATACCTTAGAGTACATTATTCGATTTTGATCATAATAAACAGACCATTATAATTATTGTGTGGACAATTTAGCTCCGAGATGAAAACCCAGTGCCGAATCAATTAATGGCGTAGTCCATGACGTATGAACTGACTGTTTCGTCTTAGAACACTCTCTCGGGACACAGGTAATTATTAATGTTGGTCTCAACAAGCTTTGCAAAATGTAGACTTTCAATAATCAGAACAGAAACGCCTCAGGGGTAGCACAAGGTTTGTCAACACTGTTTGTTGATCTCATGTTAGAAGAAGCTTCCCTCACTACTACAGTGTTGGAACAAAACAATAACAAGGCGTTTTGTCAGCTTTTGCCTTGAACAGAGTTTGCTGACAGAACGCTTTTTTTCCAAAGCCGCGGCGAAAAAAAAGGCGTTTTGTCAGCGAACTCTTTAAAAAAAAGGCGTTTTGTCAGCGTAACCATTAAAAAAAGGCGTTCTTCCGAAATTAGAATGTTAATTTATTCAAAAACTAGTCACACTTTCACTTTGATTTTTTCACACAAGTTGGGTAACAGGTCAGACTATCGATTTATCAAATAAAAAAATTTCGCGCCAAAATGAAAAAAAGGCGTTTTGTCAGCTGACGACACCACTGTCTGTGAACAGATCATTAAAAAGTAAGAGAACAGAAAGTTATCTGTGCTTCCAACGGGCAAACAAATGACTGCAGAAATCAGCAAAACACGACAAGACTCACTGACTTTGCAGTGTACAGATCGTTGTTGTTGTTGTTGTTTTGTTTTTTTATCTATTAACCCGTTTATCAACTGTGTATTTGTTTGCGTATTTGTTTATCTATTCATTCATTCTAAACTATATTTATGTATTTATTCATTGGTTTAATTTAGGGGGAGAGGGGAGGTGGGTGTCCGAATGGGGCATTATTGAACGTGCTCATCCAACCACATTCAAGACTCCCCGCCCTCTTGGCTTCTAGCAGTGTTGAAAGGGTCAATAAAGCTATTATTATTATTACCAATTAAGGACGGGCCCACAGTATATTACAGTATCATTAGTTGAACGCTTCTGTTCTCTGAGCAGCCGCTTAAGTTTATTACCATTATTAGAGTTATGATTAGACCGGCGTCTTTGGTGTTGTGGTTAGGCGCCTCGCCATTGCGCTTGGAAGACCCGAATTCGATTTTTAGGCGGGAGTTTTGTTGTTGTTGGGGTGTTGTTGTTTTTTTGTTGTTGGGGTGTTTTTTGTTGTTGTTGTTTTTGGTTTTTTTTTGTTTTTTTGGGGTGTCTTTTTACGACGGCCACCCATTGTAGAGAATAAACGTAATAGTATACAGGTGGATGTAGTCGTCTTGGGCCGTGTCAGTATGATATTATAGAAGAAAAAAAACAAACACACACACAAAGCGGAAATGGGAAATGATCGTTTATAGCCTTGGACAGGTTGCCATGTCGTACGTGCAGTTTCGACTGTATAATATATTATATATCATAGAAAAGAAGGCATGTGTAACCAGGGAGATATAAAGATCAGAAAGAGAAAACGGAAGTTGTTTGGACACACCTTGAGAGCACTGGAAGTAAACATTACCCACTAAAATAAGCCTTAAGCAGTGTTGGTTTAACTGGGAAGAACACAGATGTAGGTAGATCTATACAACGGCGAGTGTGTGTGTGGGGTTGGTTGTTTTTTGTTGTTTTTGTGGTGGGGGTGGGGGGGGAAGTGTTGGTGATGAAGGGGAGGACGTGGGAAAAAAGAATCAATGTGAAGGACAGCCGGTCAGTTCTACAAACTATGAGGCGCCACTGGCCTTAAGATGGAATCCACCAGGAAAGAGAAAGAGGGGAAGACCTAAAGATTATTTGTACTTGTAAGCTGGACTTAAATTTGGACCTAAACAAATGGAATACAGCTGAGCTGAGACTAAGGGGAAGACTATAACCGAGGACATAATAAAATGAAGATCCCCTCTCTTGTTGGTGGCCTACTCGATTCTAGTATGGGTGAGAAAGGATGATGATGGTGATGATGATGATGGTGATGATGATTTTTTAGTGCTCGAAATTGAGAATTTGTGTTTAGATTTAACTTCCCTCGAAATACTAACAAGGTTATTCAAGAGTCTGGACCTTCGAATTTAACGTCCATCTCCCGTAGTACCGAGCCAAATGGGAACATTAAAATTTCTCTCTCTCCTTCTCCCTCTCCTCACCCTATCTCTCTCTCTCTCTCTCTCTCTCTCTCTCTCTCTCTCTCTCTCTCTCTCTCGTTATCTGACTCTTGTTCCCTCTCATAAATAATTAAACACAAGCACACACACACACACACACACACACACACACACACACACACACACACACACACACACACACACACACACACTGGCACATATATGGTGTTCGTCCTTCCTGAGGGAAGAAGACCTTCTTCATCATATCCGGGGGGTGGGGTGGGTCCTCAGGTGGCTGATTAAGCCAATCTTCGCCTTGAAGGTCCTTGGGCAATGAGGGCAAGGTAGCGCTGTAGGGTCATGAATTGCGGGAGCACTGCTTGCACGGGACTTTCTTGTTGCGCGCTTGCTCTTCGCTGTTTCCAGACGCCGTGATTCATACGCTGCCGCTCCCTTGCTGATGGCTCCACGCCAGGCTGCACGGTTTTGGGCTGTCGTTTCCCACGAGTTGTGGTCAATGCCAAAGTCTTTCAGAGAGGCTTTCAGGGTGTCTTTAAACCGCTTCTTCTGACCTCCATGGGAGCGTGCTCCAGTCTGAAGTTCTCCATATAGGATGAGTTTTGACAGACGCTCGTCTGGCATTCTGACTACATGGCCAGCCCAGCGGAGTTGTGTCTTTCGGAGCATTGTGAAGATGCTCGACATACCTGTCTGCTCGAGGATTTCAGTGTCTGAGACTTTGTCCTGCCACTTCACTCTGAGCAGTTTGCGGAGGCAGTTGAGGTGAAATCGGTTGAGTTTCTTGGCGTGCCTCTGGTATACTGTCCAGGTCTCGCTTGCATATAGTAGTGTGGTGAGGACAATGATGACATATACATGAACGTTAACAAAACCAGTCAGTTTTGCTCAGCAATACACAGATCTATATCATTACGCAACATAACTCAAACCTAAAGTGAAAAAGTAGAGAACAAAAGAGATCAAAATATACCAGCAGCATTGCAGAATTGTCTGAAGAAAGGGTGCTGAAAAAACAAAACGCTACGAACAATAACTTAAAACATTGATTTCACTGCTCACCGTCTTTCTTTCTTTCTTTCTTTTCATCTTTCTTTCTGTCTATCTATCTTTCTCCCTTTCTTTCTTTCTTTCTTTTTTCTTTCTTTCTGTCTTTCTTTCTTTCTTTCTTTCTGTCTTTCTGTCTGTCTTTCTTTCGTCCCTTCTTTCTTTCTTTTTTACGTCCTTTCGTCCTTTTGTCCTTCCTTTTTTTTCTTTCTTCCCTTTCTTTCTTTCATTTTCCCCTTTCTTTCTTTCCTTTTCTTTCTTTCTTCTTGGTTTTTTTCTCCCAAAATGTAAAAATCTCAGCATATTCGTTGGTGCCTCGAGGGCTTGGGGAAATCAGTTAGCGAGCCATGTTTTAACCCGCGGGTCGCCAGTACCCCTGATGGCAGTCTGATTGGGCCGACCCTGTGGACCTCCTTGTCTCCGTCCTGGCTCACCTCTGTCGCACAAACCCCCGAGAGGAAAGGAAACGACCATTTTGTGGAGATGAAACTCTTTTTTTCTTTAAAAAAAATCCAACAAACACAAAAACAAAACAAAAACAAACAAACAAACAAAAAAAAACACACTCCTTCATCCACCAAAAAAAAGAAAGAAGGAAAACCCTTCCCTCCCTCCTCCCTCCTCCCTCAACATTCATCGTAACAATGTTATTTTTTTCTGCACGTCAGATG